TTTGACTACCAGGCCATGAGTTATGTAAAATTTTGTAAAAATTTATATATAAATCTATGAATTTAAAATTTATCTTTTATAGTTCGAAAACAAAAGGTTCCTAACTTGGAAATCTTCAACCTTGGTGTAACTAGCGTCTACGTAGATGTTGCTATACCAAAAAATATGGCTGAAAAATTGCTGGCTTTTTACAACAATGCATTAATGCAAAAATCTGTTGGTATAAATGGTGATACGTTCTTTTCAGCTATGCGTTTGATACCAATCGATCAATCCGGTGAACCTTACTACAGGTTCTTCATTGGATTTCAGTATCCGACAATCCTTGACAGCAAAGGCCCAAATAGTAATTTAGTTGATGATGATGATCCTGAATCCGTTATGAAACATACAATTTCAAGAATCAAACAATTACGTCCACCTTGCGAATTGACGGATCTAATGGTCGACATATTTTCGTTGGTTCCAACCTCTGATCCAGGAGAGAAGTATCCGTTTCGAGTGTATAATGCTCCACGACGTCGTCCGCTTCGCGATATTGATCCATCATCTGTCCCTCCCTGGAAAAATGATAGAATCATTTTGTTAGGCGATGCAGCCCATGCTATGAATCCAATATTAGGATTAGGTTTGTATTTATTAAAACTGTCCATATACCCGATCTGCATTAATGCTTATTTTTATAAAATTTTTAAGGTGCAAATAATGCAATACAAGATGCCGATCTTTTAACCAAGGAATTACTTAATTATGCGTATAAAAATGATGATTTATTCGCATGCATTCGACGATACAACGAGCAAATGAGAGCTCGATCATCTAAAGACGTTCAGTCATCACGTAACACTGCACTAAGACAAAATGTTCCAATTGGAACATTTGGTTTGGTTTTTAGATATTTGATGATGAGAGCTATTAATGCTCTTATATACGTTACTGTATTGATTCAGACTTATTCTTAATTTTATTCGCAACATATATTTATTCATACTATTATATTTATATTTTTATATATTTATGTAAGCTATTACAATATTCCTTTTATACGTATAAATAATGTATATTCAATCCAAGTTATATATATGTACAATGCAGTATAAAATATTCAAATTTTAATTCTTATAACAAATTTTATATTAAAAAAAGGATCAAGGTCTTTTATAAAGTTAAGGACTGAATTAATTAAAATTCTTGAACTCAACAAAGTATTTCGTTTTTTTTCTTTTATTGTTGGTAATCTCTCCTCTCGAATAAAAATCACCTTGTGTTTTTTTTTTTTGGTTATTCAAGTCTTCCCCACGATTAAGTTTAAGAAAACGGCAAAAACTTAAATTCATAATGAAATACTCAATAATTTAAACAATAGATAAAAAAAAGTATCAAATAATAAACAAAACAAAAAGAAAACAGAATAAAAAACCAATTAAGAATGCTTTATTATATTTAAGGGGCATCCATAAATAATATTATATACCCCTACATAGAACCTTATAACCCCTAGATTATATAAAGATAAATTTTAAATTCATAGATTTATATATAAATTTTTACAAAATTTTACATAACTCATGGCCTGGTAGTCAAA